GTTACTTTATATTCCACAAATGAGTGCAACCTTTTTATGCCTGCCTCTCTCTTTCTGACTCATTTCACTTAGCATGATACTTTCCCTGTTGATCCACTTATATGCAAAGTTCATGACTTCATCTTTTCTAACCTCTGCATAGTATTCCATTGTGTAGATGGAAAAAAGTTTCTTTAAACAGTCATCTGTTCTTGGGCACTCGTTTTTTCCCAGATTCTGGCTATTGTAAACAGTGCTGCAATGAACATATGCGTATAGATGTTATTTTGACTATACTTTATTGCCTCGCTGGGATATATTCCCAGAAGTTGTATTGCTGGATCAAATGGGAGCTCAATTTCTAGTTTTTTGAGAAGCATCCAAATTGTTTTCCAAAGGGGGCTGAACCAGTCAGCATTCCCACCAGTTGTGAAGGAGAGTCCCTTTCTCCCCACATCCATGCCAACAGCGGTTGCTTTTGTTCTTTTGGATGTGGGCCAGTCTCTGTGGTGTGAGGTGGTGTTTTGATTAGCATCTCCCTCATGATTAGTGATGAAGAGCATTTTTTCATGTGCCTTTTTGCCATTCATATTTCTTCCTTGAGAAATTTTTTGTTCATTTTATCACCCCATTTTCTGGTTGGATGTTTTCTTCTTGTAGAGTTCAACCAGTGCTCTATATATCCTTAATATCAACCCCTTATCAGATGGGTATTAGGTGAATATTCTTTTCCATTCTGTTGATTGTCTTTGTATTTTGGTCACTGCATCTTTTGAGGTGCAGAAACTTCTCAGTTTAATATATTCCCATTTGTTTATCTAAATGGTTTATAGTTTTCCACTTGCTTGGCCAGTGGTATGTCATCTTTGATGATACCTTTAGCTTCAATATCATGGAGGGTTTTGCCAACCTTGTCTTCAATGTACCTTATGGATTCTGGTCTGATATTGAGGTCTTTCTTCCATTTTGATCTGATTTTTGTGCTTGGTGTTAGTTCGAGGTCTAAGCCCCCCCCCTTTTTTTTTGCATGTGGCTGTCCAGTTATGCCAGCACCATTTTTTAAAGAGGCTTTCCTTGTTCCACTTCACATTTCTTGCTCCCCTATCAAAGATTAGATGTTCATACATTCGGGGTTGTGTGTAAGGATATTCTACCCTGTTCCATTGGTCTGTTGCTCTGCCTTTGTTCCAGTCCCGTGCTGTTTTAATTGTTACCACTTTGTAGTAGAGTTAAGGTTGAGGAGGGTAAGGCCTCCCATCTTCTTTTTCCTAAGAATTGCTTTAGCTATTCATGAGAATTTGTTGTTCCATATGAATTTCAAGAGTGTTTGATCCATTTCTTTGAAGAATGTCATGGGTATCCTTATAGGGATCACATTCAATCTGTATAATGCTTTGGGGAGTTGTGCCATTTTGACAATGTTAATTCTCCCAATCCATGAGTACGGGTTATGTTTCCATTTCCTCGTGTCCTCTTTTATTTAATGGAGAAGCGTTTTGTAGTTTTCTTTGTAGAGGTCCTTTGCCTCCAATTCCGAGGTACTTGATTTTCTGGAGCACGATTGTGAAAGGGATTGATTTTTCATGTCACTTTTCTTTGTCTCATTATTGCATATAGGAAAGTCATGGACTTTGGAGCATTGATTTTATAGCCTGTAACTTTACTGTACAAGTCTATTGTTTCTAGGTGTTTCTTGGTAGAGGCTTTAAGATTCTCTAGATATAGTATCATATCATCTGCTAATAGTGAAAGCTTGATTTCTTCTCTTTCTATCTGGATGACCTTAATATCTTTTTCTTGCCTAACAGCTACTGCAAGTACTTCCTGTAATATATTTAACAGAAGTGGAGATAGTGGGCATCCCTGTGTTGTCCCTGATCTTAGAGGAAGGGTTCTTAGAGGAAAAATTGATCTTAGTTTTTCCCCATTGAGAATAATGCTTGCCATAGGTTTGTGGTAGATGGCTTTGAATTATCTTGAGGGAAGTTCCTTCAAAACCCATTTTGGTGAGAGTTCTTATCATAAATGGGTGTTGAATCTTGTTAAAGGCTTTCTCTGCATCTATTGATATGATTATATGGTTTTTATCTTTAATTTTGTTGATATGATGGATTATGTTGATTGATTGCTGAATGTTAAAGCATCCTTGCACCCCCAGGATGAATCCCACTTGGTCATGGTGTATGATCTTTTTGATTTGTTGTTGGATTCTGTTTGCTAATATTTTGTTGAGAATCTTTGTATCTGTATTGATCAGGGATATTGGCCCATAGTTTCCTTTGTTAGTGGTATCTTTCTTTGCTATTAGTATTAGGGAGATATGTGTCTCATAGAAGCTGTTCGGGAGAGTTTCTATTTCTTCAATTTCCTGGAAAAGCTTGAGAAGAACAGGTCATCTTTAAATGTTCGGAAGAATTTGTTAGTAAATCCATATGGATCTGGGCTTTTGTTTTTGGGAAGACTTTTGGAAACAGTTTTAATTTCCTTGATGTTGATGGGTCTGTTTAGGTATTCCAAGTTTTCTTGGTTCAATATTGGGATATTACAGGAATCCAGGAATTTATTCATTTCTTCTAGGTTCTCTTGTTTCGTGTCATACAGACTTTCAAAGTAGCCTCTGATGATTTTTGAATTTCATTGGTATGTGTCGTGATGTCCCCCTTTTCGTTTCTGACTCTGTTTATTCGGGTTCTTCTCTCTCTTTTTTTGTGAATCTTGCTGGTGGTTTTTCAATCTTGTTTATTTTGTCAAAGAACCAGCTCTTGGTTTCATTGATCTTTTGGATTGTCTTTTTGGTTTCCATATTGTTAATTTCTGCTCTAAGTTTTATTATTTCTTTCCTTCGGCTGAATTTGGATTCTTTTTGTGCTCCTTTTCTTAGATCTTGAGTTGTGAAGTCAAGTTATCTATGTAGGCCCTTTCTTCCTTCCTTCCTGAGGATTGCTTGCAGAGCTATAATTTTTTCCCCTTAACACGGCTTTAGCTGGCTTTAGCTGCATCCCATAGGTTCTGGTAGCTTCTGTCTTCATTATCATTTGTTTCAAGGTATCGTTTGATTTCATCCTTGACTTCCTTCCTAACCCACTTGTTGTTCAACATTGAGTTGTTTGTTTAATTTCTAGGTATTTAATTTGGTTCTCCACATCTATGTGTGATTTGTTTCTATCTTCAGTACATTTTGGTCTGAAAAGATAGTTGATACAATTTCTATCTTCCTGGTTCTACTGAGGTATGTTTTGTGACCCAACACGTGGTCTATTTTAGAGAATGTTCCATGAGCACTGGAGAAGAATGTGTATTCTTTCTTTTTGGGGTGTAAAACCTGTATAGGCCTATTAGCCCTCTCTTATTACTTCTTTCAAATCCAGTGTTTCCTTGTGAGGTTTTGTTCTTGTTGATATATCCAGAGATGGTGATAAGGTGGTGTTGAAGTCTCCGACTACTATTGTGCTGCTAGCAATGTCCTCCTTAAAATCCGTTAGCAGTTGTTTTAAGTATTTATCTTGTCCCTTGTGGGTGTTTATACATTTCGGAGTGTGATTTCTTCCTGTTGTACATATCCCTTGATAAATAGAAAATGACATTCACTGTCATTTCTAATCTTTTTCAACCTGAAATCTATGCTGTCAGATACTAGTAAGACCACCCCAGCTTTTTTGAGGGAGTTGTTTTTTGCAGGATTGTTTTCCATCTTTTGACTTCGATTCTGTGTTTGCTCTGACTGTTCAGATGTGTTTTTTGTAGGCAGCAGAATGTTGGTTACAGTTTTTGAATCCATTTTGCCATTCTGTATTTAAAAGTTTTTTTCTTCTTATCTTATAGGAGCCCCTTTAGTCTTTTTTCAGGTTTGGTTTTGAGTCTATAAAGTTCCTGAGCTGTTGTTTATCTATAAAATGTTATATCATTTCTTCAAGTTTGAGTTAGACTTTTGCCGGATAAAGTATTCTTGGTGAGGCATTCATTTCATTGAGTTTTTTCACTATATCCTCCTGCTTGGAGGGTTTCCTATCATAGATCTGCTGTAAATCTAACGGGTGCTTCTTTGTATGTGATTTCCTTCTTTGACCTTGCTGCTTGCAGTATTGTGTCTCTATCCACTGCATCCATCATTCTGACTATGATATGCCTTGGAGTGTTTTTATTAGTGTCTCTTTTAGCTGGCACCCTTCTGGCTCCTTGGATGTGGATGACTGCATTCTCTAACTCTGGGAACTTTTCAGCAATGATTTCTTTAACTGCAGCTTTTTCATTGGGGTTGCCTCTTTGTCCTTCTGGTACTCTGATGATTCTAATACTGTTCCTCTTGGAATCATCCTGTAGGTCTCTGATTCACCTTTCAGCTATTTTGAAGTCTTTTCCCATTGTTTCTTGTTTGTATGATTTCTGCAGATCATATTCAAGATCACTGACTCTGTCTTCAGCTGTAGCCATTCTGCTGTTGAGGGCACCCACTGAGTTTTTTATTTCATCTACCAAGACTTTTATTAGTGACAGTTCTGATTGTAGCTTTCTTATTTCTGCTCTCATTTTTCCTGTATTTTGTTGGCTTTCTGTTCCACTGTTTCTTTTTTTTCCTCCTTTAATTTTCTGGATGTCTGCTCCATTGTTTCTTTGAGTTCCTGAACATCTCGAAATTCTTTATTGGAGAGTTTGTATTTTTGGGTAATCTCTGTTGAAGATTCTGGTCTCCTTTCTTTGTCCTCTCCTACTAATGGAGATTTGCGCTGTTTCTTCATGTTGTTGTGGTTGTATAGAGGTAAAATATTCCCATTTACTAGCACTGTTCTCTCTTATTGCGGGAAAGGGTTCTGGATGAGCTCGGTTGATGGTGGTCACCTTTCTACCCATCTAGAATATGTCCTTCCTCTCAGACATCTTTCTGTGACTTATGATAGGCATCTAGTGAAGCTTTGGAGGATGTGTTCTTTTATATTGGGCTTGTACAGCTTCTTGTGTACACTGTTATTTTGGTGAAATTAGAGTAGGTCAGTGGACTATTGTCATATTGTGCTTGAGGCAGAAAAAGTATGGAACACTTCACAAATTTGCGTTGCATCCTTGCACAGGGTCCATGCTAATCTTCTCTGTATCATTCCAATTTTAGTATATGCGATGCTGAAGCAAGCACCCAAAATTATGTTAAATTCAGCTTTTTACTCCTGGGAAAACTTGTCTAAATTTTAAAACCTAGTTACAGTTTCCTTTTGCAGAATAGAAAAATTTAATCGTTATATGTAGTTCAGTAACAAATGAGAATGTGAGTAACTAAGTACAACAAACTATAAATGAGTTTTAATTTAATTTTATTATACTATATTAAAACAATATCACTCATGGAACATGATTTGCAAGCCTGCTTATTACTGACTTTGGAAATTTTGGATAAAGTTTGTTCTATGATATGAAGACTTTTGAACTAAAAAATCAAATATAGAAAGTGTGCAAGTACCATTTAATTTCCCCTCATTTCTTTCATTTTCCAGCAAAGAAGTACAGTGTTACCACACACAGTATAAAAAAACAACAGTAGTTACTGTTGACATCATGCCATTAGTTGAATAACACATCATCAGTATCTTATGCCATCATCAGTGGAGTAAATCAAAATTTCCTATCACATGATAGAGTACAATGGAACCAAAATCCAATCTTGGATTTTTTTAAAATGTAGGAGTAACTACTTCTATTTATTCAGCCATTGATTTAAGCTGATTGAATTGGGTTTGAACTCCACATTAATTAATTTTTTTTATCGAATCACTGTTAGATACAGTTATGAAGCTTCCCTGTTTGAATTTCAGTCATACTATGATTGGACATCCAACCCTCCACCAGTGCACATCTTCCACCACCAAGGTCCTCAGTATTTCCCACCTTCTCACCCCTCCCCCTGCCTCTTTGGCAGACAATTTCCCCTATACTTTCTTTTGTATTGCTCATTATGAATAGCATAAGATGTCACATGGTCGTGAGAACGGCTGCATGCTCTTAGAATTCTAAAATTTTAGATAATTGGGTGTGGAGAAATCTCTGCAGAAAGCTGTTCGAAGAATCGGGTTTGAAGATTCTTTTGTGTGTCTCTGGATCATGTCCATTAAAGAGCTTAAGTAGAAGCTGGAAGCAGTTTGTGGGCGTGGTTTCCAGGGTCCCATGGGGATGGGGACAGGGGAGGGGGAAGGTGTATGAGAGGGACCAGCCCATCGCCTATCCCTTGAGGCCTGGAGTTTGTTGTCACTGAACCCATGTACCTGCACTTCTCACTGGGTTCTGGAAGTTGGCAGCTGCCAGCGTTTTGAGGGACAATGCCTGCCCTCATCTGAGGAACCCTGGTAAAGTCGGCCTGGCTTAAAGTTTGGAGGCATCTCTGCAGCAAGCTGTTCTGTTCAGAGTTTCTTTTGTGTGTCTCTGGATCATGGGCCTTGTTTCCATCTTTTCCAGAGGAATAAATTATTGGCATATGCCCTGCAGGGTGCACCCGCTCACCCATAGGGTGCTGCACTGCTGGCACTAACTGCAGCTTTGGATCCCTGAAATAAGGCCAATAAATGAGCTTGTATAGCTGAGCCGGAGGTGGTTTGTGGGTGTGTCTCCCACATACCTAACTTTTTGCTGTTTAATTTCTTGGCAAACTTGGTCCCAAGTTGGTGGGGTCCAGCCAAAGGCATAGCAACAATTTTGAGGTATCAGGAAGCCTGAAGGCACCATTGGGCTGTTGATGCACTTGTCCCGCAAATACAGGTTGACCTGCTGATGGCACCATGGATTTTTCTTATCAATGAATTCTCATCTGAATGTAATACAAAGAAAAACTTCTTACAAACACAATATAAGGGATATTCTACAGTTTAGCTGGAAAGTCTTCTTCAAAAGTGTCAAAGTCTTAAAAGTTATAAAAGATATAACTTTTATATCAGAGATCTTAGATGATTAAAGGCACATACCAATTATTTTTTAATTTACTTTTTAAATTGAATAATCATGAAGTACAAAGCTATTGTGATCAGGTTTCAGTCATACAATGTTCCAACACCTATCCCTCCACCAGTGTAGTATATTTCCCACCACCAATATCCCCTGTTATCCTCTGCCTCCTTTCCCCAAGTCTGCCTCTATGGCAGGCACTTTTCTTCTCTCTCTCTCTCTCTCTCTCTCTCTCTCTCTCTTTCTCTCTCTCTCTCCTTTTGGGCACTAAAGCACATCACAATTAAATGCAGTTTCTATTCAGATTTTGATACTTAGTCTCCCACAAACATCACTGGGAAAAACCAGAGTGATTTGAATGAGGTCTGAGGATGAGAAAGTAAAACATAGTGATGTGATTTACCAATTTTTATAGCTGAATTTTTATTAAATCTCCTCCACCACCAATATGATTGAACAAGAGAATGGTGGTACACATTGTAAGACAAAATATGCATGCATGACTAGTAAGTACATAAGGCATGCAACCTAAGCTGTGTTTGATCCCTAACACCACATGGCCTCCCCAAGTGTCATCTGTGAGAGCAGCCCTAAAAGACATCAATCACTGGGTGTGGCCACAATGGATTTTGGCTCTCCGGGACCCAAATATCTCTGTATTGAAACACTAGCACTATTGGCCAGGAACTGAGATAATGGTCTCCAGATGTTATAGCATCACTTGGCAATACCCACCGCCCCCCCCCCCACACATGGGATATATTGCATATTTACTTGAAATAACGTAATTTTTTCCTTAATACATGTGGCAGGGAAAATAGAGGGGACTAAGTAACATTCTTATCGATAATGTACTCCCAAAGAGGCATCTATGCTTAAGACCTTTTGCTTGAAGAATAAACTATGATTTTCTGAAACTTACTGAAAAAAATCTCTCTTGAAATTGTACCAGATGTCATAGAGAGACAGAATGGAGAGTCTGAACCAGGAAACTTGCAGTCACATCTTTGCTAGAAACATGCACATGTTGAGCTGAAAATGGAGAAACTGGTTGAGAGGGTCCCAAAGTGCTGTTTTTGGGTAGCAGGAAAGGAAAAAAGGCAAGAAATCACATATGTGACCTCATCACTGTAGAGCTTTACAATGATCCTATAAACCTTTGCTTTCCCAGAGTATAGACAGAAAAGGAGCATGGTCAAAGTAGGAAACTCATCAGTTTCCTCCCTCTGTATGAAAGACTGGAGGTTGCCACTCATAGAAGCAGAGTCAGAAGCCAACACCAAGGACTTGCAGCTCTGCAAGAGGGCCTGGGAAATGCAACCTAACATCCACAATGCTGGAGAATGTGGTAGAAGTACATCAATTTGAAAAATAAAATTTGAGTAAGGGACTTATTTTAATATGCAGAGCAAATATGCATCAATTAATATGAAGGAGTACATTTATTTTCCAATCAATATATTCTGTATGGAGCAATAGCATAGCGGTAGGGCGTTTGCCTTGCGTGCAGCCAACATGGCCGACCCGAGTTCGATTCCTCTGCCCCTCTCGGAGAGTCCGGCAAGCTACCGAGAGTATCTCGCACGCACGGCAGAACCTGGCAAGCTCCCCATGAGGTATTCTATATGCCAAACACAGTAACAACAAAGTCTCCAATGGAGATGTTACTGGACTCAAGCAAATCGACGAACAACGGGAGGGCCTTTACCTTTACCTTTACCTTCTGTATACAACACAACCAAAAAGCTGAAGGGCAGGCATAAAATACTCGAATATATATCAGGTCTTGTGGGAAAATTTGATTGATTTCTGATTGAGGATATCAAATGGGAAAATGGGGGAGTTTGACAAGACATTGCATTGAAAGATAATCTAGTTGTGAATCGTATTGCACTGCTTAATAGAACAAAATGGGGGAGCAGTTCTGTGGGTTGAAAGTGGATTCCTTGAATCTCTGCTCATAAACAAGGTCTCTACAAAGTTAGAAATTATGCCATTGTCTTTGGACAATGCTGAGCTCTACCCAGAAATGTGCAAATGCATAACTGACCCCAGAAGGCTTCAATCTTGATAATACTTTATAATGTATACTCTGTAAACAAGCGGGGGAAGGAAATGTCTCTAACTTGAAAGACACAAAAGGCAAGCGATTCAATTGGAATAAAAACTGGTTTAGGGTAAGTAGTATACATAAATAAAGAATAAAATAAAAAGACACTGCAATTTATGAACTGTCCAGTAACTATGGCCAACTTTGATGAGTCAAAAATAACTCAAGGAATATTAACCAGTCATTAAAGGGAAACATCACATCATCTTTCATTAGCAAGAATGAAAAGTTGGCTATAAAACAGAAGAAGAAAAATTCAAATGGACCCTCATTAGTGCTTGGCTCAAGATTGTGGCATTTAAAACTCTTTTGAAGTCCAGAGAAAAATTTTAAAAAACAACTAGAAATGGGGAACTGCAAGATTTAATTGAGTTTATGCTTGCAGAGATAATTTTTAAATGATTTAAAGGCAATACATACAAATCAGACTTCAATACAATTTCTAAAATGCATATAATACACAGTTTGAGTTGCAAAAATAAATAAAGACTGCTCCTCAGGTCAAGACAACAGGGGAAATAACTGATATTTTCATTGTACTATGATTATTATTATCTGTAAACTATATTAAAACAATATAGATAGAAAGCATAAAGATAATGTTAAAATATATGTAAGATAAAGCATGGTGCACTTGTTAAGATATAATTCTGGCTGCTTTAAGAGAAAATAGATTCTGAATAAAGTAGTAGAAGCTTATTTCACTCTCATATACCTATCTCCAAGAGGGGAGGAGGTCCAGTGGAGGAGGATCACTCTAGTTTCCAGTCCATAAACTAGATATTGCGTAGCCTTGCTACACTATTCCTTGAGCTGGACTTTTTGTGGTTGAAGGTGGTTCACCACTATTATATATATTTTCCGAGCTGTGGGGAGGGGATAGAAGAAGGGGAAATCTTGCAACTTTCTTTTCTTAGCACAGTCAGGAGTTGCACTTAGCCTTTCCGGTCATAGCACCTTGGTCATAACTAAGTCATCTACTAAGGGCAGCTACTGGTGTCAAAGAAATGTATTCATGATAAATCATGTGGTAAATCTTAGAGAGGATACCATGAAAGTAGTATGCGTCTGAACACTGAACACTGCGATCCTTTC